GAAAGGCCTTCGCATCATCTTAAAAAATCAATCAAAAACTCAGAAGGTCACTGCTATGCTGACTGTGCTAATGGTCACCAGGCCATGCCTGTGACTTGAAACTGCTTTAACTATGCATATTTTCTCACACCCTGTCCACAATTCTTATTGAACTTGAAGCTAATGTCTATATCTCCCAAGATAGCTGCAAATGTACTGAAGTGCTATCTTCCCATGACCGTCATATAATAAATCTCCTTTCTCTAACCCTTGATGATATCATAATAAATGATCTCTTTATGATGACATCAAAATGATTCCTTCATTTAGCACATGGGGACAAGTGGCTGGACCTAACTTGGGACTCCTGGACTTTGGGCTTGAGAGCTAAAAGCCTGATTTAAATATGAGCACAGTTATTTGGCCCAAGAGTGAAAATATTCCCCTTTGCATACCTGACATGTCATCATTAATAATGGCAACCTCTCTGTGTCCTGAGGTGAGTCCATTTCACAAGATCGTATTTGATGAAAAAGATTCATCAACAAAGAAGCCAGGGGAAGTGGGCACCTTTTCCTGTGGATTCCCAACATACGCTGTCATACCTTACTCAGGAAAGCAAGTTCAATTTAGGAGTTCTTCAACATACAACATCGTTAACTTGGAAATGTGTACATGTGCATGTGTGTCTGTGCATGAGACATTACATTCTGAGGAATTAGAGTTACTATGGCTTGCATAAGGATTAAGTAAAGGACCTGTTAATCAGAGAACTTATCACACTTTTTAAAGTCAAAGCTTCCTGAACGGTTAGCTGTTACTACTAGTAGTAGTATTTATGAAGTGACTTTACACCAAGGTCATCTCTGCTCATCATTTACTAGAAATGTCCACCCTGAATTGAACCCTTTCTGTAGTCCATTCTCAACACAGCAGCCACGGGATCATTTTAAACCAGAAAATGTTATTCCTTACAGGGATGGGAACATCTGGTCAGCAGGCTACATAAGGCCCATGAAATAATTTGGTACATGACTTGTCAGACATAGTTTATGCTTCCTACCAGCTGTCTACAGCCCATCTACAGTATTGAATTGTGTAAAACATGTGAATGTTACAAATATTCATGGCCCTTGGAAGAAAAATAAAGATTCTTCACCCTGAGAGGCCTTCCATGTTCATGCAAAGGTGAAGCTAGAGCCTGTCCAAGCTCTGCTTCTCTTTTACCCATTCTATTATTGGTTGTCCACTGTGGTTAACAGACTTCCATGCTTCCTTTGAACAGGACAGCAACATATCTACCTCTAGACCTTGAACTTACTGGTCCCTCTGAGAAAGAAGGCTCTTCCTGTTATTCACATGACTCCTCCTCTTACCGCCTTCAGCCCTTTACAGAAATGTCTAACCTACCTAAACTTTCTGTACACTCCTACATGCTCCAACCCCTCCCCTTATTCCTTTTTGTTGCATCACATTTGTGTGTGTGTGTGTGTGTGTGTGTGTGTGTGTGTGTGTGTGTGTGCTGAAACTAGGGCTTAAACTCAAGGTCTGGGTGATATCCCTAAGCTCTTTTTTGCTCAAGGCTAGCATACTTCCTGAGACACAGCTAGCTCCACTTCCAGCTTTTCTTTTTTTGGTGGTTAATTGGAGATAAAAGCCTCATAGACTTTCCTACTGGGGTTGGCTCTGCACTGTGATCCTCAGATCTCAGCCTCCTGAGTAGCTAGCATTGCAAGCAGGATCCAACTTGTGCCAGGTGCCCCCCATTTCTTTACATCGATACGCTGGGTTTGATTTGTTTGTTTTTGGTTTTATATTGTTTTGTTTTTCTTACATGTTTCTAATCTATACTTGGGGCCCAGGACAGAGTCAAGCATGTGGGAGTTGCTTGCTATACGCTCACCAGTAACCAGATGTAGAAGTTGCATCTGTTTTGCTGGACTGTGGAGGCTAACTACATTTCTGAATGAAGCCAGAATGTCTTTATTGAAGAATGAAACACATATTTACAAGCTGGTCTCTGTGGTTTTATTAGGGTTTTCTGGGTCTCATCAAACAAACAAACAAATCCTTCTATTTTGATTCATCAAATCCTTTCATGAAAAAGAAATACTCAATTTGAATTTAACATAGTGTAAGGGGAAAGATGGCTGATTTAAAATTTTTAAAAAATGGCAGTAAGGTTGTTACTTATAACTTGTCAACCCAGAAGCCACACGGCCAGAAAAAGTAAGAATTACCCAAGATAGCTACAGAAAGATGAATTCCCATTGAGTGAAACTTGTGGAGACCTGCACATTTGAAAAAACCCAACAGGTGTTTTTTGTTGTTGTTGTTGTTGTTTTCAAGACGGTATATCTCTTATTCCTGATACTAAATACTGAAAGCCCAATGTGAGGGTGACTCAGCTCTGGCACAAGCTTTGCTGTGAGGATCTACCATCCATAGTCAGTACCCATTCATCCCTGAGAACAGATCATACAAACTACTCATGAATCTGTTTCCCTGCTATGCATGCAGCAAGCCCTCAACAAATGTTACTTTTATTTTTTTATTTTGTGTGTGTGCTGGTACTGGGGTTTGAACTCAGAACCAGGGTACTCTCCCTTAGCTTTTCACTCAAAGCTGGTGCTCTCTACCTCTTGAGCCACATCTCTACTTCTGGCATTCTGCTGGTTAATTGGAGATTAGGGACCTTTCTGCCCAGGGCTGGCTTTGAACCATAATCCTCAGATTTCAGCCTCCTGTGTAGCTAGGACTACAGGCTTCAGCCAATAGCACCTGGTTAACAAATGTTAACTGCAGAAGAATAATTCATTTCCTCTATGGTTTTACCTTTTCTTACATTTTATGTATCTGAAAAATAACACATTTGCAAAACTAAAATCAAACATGCATGGCTAACCTTATAAAAAATCCCTCCATATTTTTCAAAAAGAAAAATTAAAAATACAAACCAATCCCCAAAGACTAAAACTTAGAACAAGTTTGTGCTTAAATAGCATCATATTAATTGACATCATACAAACACATTCACACTCTTCATTGGTTAAAATAAGTCAGGGATTCTTTACTGGCATTTTGTACCAGGTAAGTCTCACAGTTTCAAGTAAGGCCATAAGTTCTCATCCAACGTACACTGACTGGTGGAACCAAACAGCCTATCTACCGTTCCTTTCAGCACAGGTAGGAAAGCAAAATAGTCTCACAGAAAAATGTTCATAACAGATAATATGTCCTTGAAGTTTTGAATGTTGAATTATTCCAGTAAAGAAATAATTCCTGTCTTAGTTACATGGCCTCCCATCTTCTAGAAGATACGCATTCATTAATTCAACAGATATTTGTTGTGTACTCGTGGCATGCCAGGCACACAATAAAGGGAATATATGGTTGTTATCTTCAAAGAGCTTATAGTCTAGCAAGACCAGAAGGTGGAGAAAAAAATCAGTGGAGTCAAAGAAAAATTCATCAGCTGGGTCTGCCTTGCTTGGTAGCACGATGAAGAAGCTGTGGAACATGTCCCTGGGGCCCAAGACCTTGCTCAAGTTTTTATCAAGACAAATAGGAACCTCAAATGATCTGAGTCTTGACAGCCCTTAGGTTCCCATTGAACTATGAGCCTGAATATTTAGAAGGGGTCAGGGTGACCAAGGTAGACTACTCAGAGCTTCTCAGAAGCTGTGTCCCTGTACATAAAGGGGAGTTTTCTGTACAACTCAGCTGTTTCAACATTGTAGAGAGATGTATTCTGTGCACACTTTGCGTTGGCCTGGCCTAGTTACCCCGAGTTATCTAAGTCACAAACACCACATAGAAAACACAGCCAAGTGAAGCCAAGACAATAGAGAGCTATGCTGAGAACCTAATACTCCAGCCTACTGAAACAGGTGCTGGGGGCAAGAAACTATCACCTTCAACTGCTTATCTGCTGAGCTGTTCTAGATGCACCTACTCCCTAGCAAGGATTGCTCTTCCCTGAAAAGGAAGAGCCAAAGACCAACTGTAAGGGAAAGATCTCGACATCTTGAACAATGAACAGCTCAAGCTGGGGAAGGAAAGTCCTAGAGAGAACTGGCACATGCCTATCAATGCCTCACAGAATTCAGACAGACAGACAGACAGACAGACAGACACACACACACACACACACACACTATGCCATTTCAAATACTGGATGTCTCATTCATTCTGTAATGTAGTTGGTGCGGGGAAGCTACATGATCCTGTAGCTTTGGAAAACAAGGTATGTGTTTGACACAGGAATCTGAGTTGTATAATGAAGATCTTTGCTGTTCATTGCACTTTTTCTCAGCTTCCTCAGTAAATGATACTTGATAACCCCAAGCCAAATCCTTGTGGAGGTGACCAAGCCAGTTAGAAAATGATCTTAGTTATAATATTAGAAGAAGTTTGGACACATCCATAATGGCCATCATTATAATTAAGATAAATTTGGAAGTTTTATTTCTAGCCCTCTAAATACATTACAAGCACTTAGCAAGGGGCTCTCTCTATTGGACGAACACCCTCGTTCCTTCCTATATCCCCATATTATTGTTCAAGATAGTGAAGCAGGAGAGAGGATAGTAAAGAACATGAGAGAACCAAAAAGAAAAGTTGCAAAAAGGTTGTAGATGTTCAGACTCAGTTTTTAAAGTGTCTACAGACTCACATTCCTCCCAGCTCACATGGACCAGTGATAAGTTTTCAGGTTTTCAAGAAAAATCCCACTATGAAAAATACACATCCAATGCTTGTCCCCTGAAAATTTCTGGGTTCTCTCTCCCCTTTTCTATCTTTCCTTCATTTCCCTTTTCTTTTCATACTGACATTCCTCTGAGTGTAAATGTAGGCAATATACCTCCAAATGAAACAGGAGGGAAGAATTAACACCTGTGAACAGTTTTCCTTGGAGATCTCTATGTCTCTGTGTCTTGTCTCTCTCTGTATGTCTCTCTGTGTGTCTGTCTCTGTCTCTCTGTCTCTCTCATTTTCTCTCGTTCTCTCTCTCCCTCTCTCTCTCACACACGCGCATGCACACGCACACACACACACACACACACACACACACAGAGTCTTTTCTAGCATTTCCCTCTGCAATGAAATCTTTGCTGTGCTTTGGGTTCTAGAGCAAATGTCTTCTATTGTAGTTCTTGCTGCATTGCTGTGTTTAATTTATATGACTTTAGCTCCCATCTGGGGTTCTGGAAAAAAAATTCCTATAGAGAGTTCAACCTACTATCCCTAGTGAGTTGACTTTAAGGTCTTACTTTTGCTTTTTTGTAGGGACTAAAAGATCTGACAACCTTTTTTTCCCTCTGAGACTACATCACTATGTATTTTCATCTGGACTGGATAAATCAGCAGTTCTCAATCAAGGACAGTTTTGCCCCTTTAGAGATACTGGGAGCTATCAGGAATGTGTTTGATTACTGTAGTGGGGAAGTGCTGTGGATATGTAGTTGATGGAGGTCAGGGGCACTGATGTGCATCTTATCGTAAACAGTACAATCCTCAGCACAAAGACTGACAACTAAAAATGTCAGCTGTGCCAGTTGAGAAACCACAAATACAGAGATACAAAAGCAAACTTATCAGCCATTCACCAACTCCTTCCCACTTACTTTCAAACAGTTGAAATAAAAATAATCAAGGCTGGGTTCTCTCTTAAATAACTAGAAGTGGGCAGATGTGGCAACTGAAGATTTTTTGTTTGTTTGTTTGTTTTTAGCAACCATCCAAGAGGGAGGTGAAACAGGTAAATCAATCCTGAATGAGTATAAGTCCCCTACTCCCCATACACCATTATTCTTGTCACTGATTAAAATATTTCAGCCCACCCTGGATGTTGAAAGTTCCCATTCTCTACTCACTGGCTCCAAAAGTCACATTAAAGTTCACAGCACCCTTTCTGTGGATCCCATCTGTCTTGACCCTGGATCTCACCATAGCAACCATACTCAGCTCTCTTGACAAGGTCATTATGGATGCCATGTGCAGAAGACCCATCAATTTTTTCTAACTCATTGTGCATAGGAAAACATTTTAATGCCCTCTGATTTCCTTTTTATCTCTCTTAGTAAGAAGTCCAGGGCTACCAGTCCTATTATTCTTGAACTTCACAAGAGGCAAATACAAATCATGACCACATACAGCGTCATATCTCACAGACAACTGTGTACGTGTGTTCCCCATACAGGACATACTTTAAAGTAACAAAATAATTTCTTTTATCAACTGTAGTGTTCTTTCTTTCTGTTAGAAGTAGATTTTCCCCCCCTCATGGTACATAAATATCAGAGAAAAGCAGTCTTTGAAATATTTATGTCCAGGAGTTCTTCCTTGCTTAGTATATTCATTTGGTGTGTGCTTTTGGTCTGTGTTCCAAGGATAGGCAGACTCAATTTTCATTTTCTCTCCATCCACGAGCATTCTTCCCAAACTTATATACTAGCCGTCGTCCATCCACACGTTCCAGGATTTCTCGTTTGTAGTAATATCTGCAACAAAGGAAATTTCCATAAGGTGGCTGTTCAGATACACAGCTCTGGTGTGAGGCATAGCCATGTGGGGAGACAAAAACCCACTCACCTCATGGCCCGGCTGAGTTTCTCATAGGTCATGCTACTGTTGTTTTTCTTCTTCCCCCACAGTTGAGCCACTGCCTCTGACTTCAAGAACCTGAAGACGCCCTCAGAGCGGTCTTCCCACTTGATGAGCCCTGGATTTTTGTCAGGGTTCAGGAGAATGTCGCGGATGAACTCCCATAAATGTGTACCTCTTGGGTCTGATGAGAAGAAGGAAAAAAAAAGTGGCCTAAGTTACTAAGTTATTTCTAAGTTACTAAGTTATTTCTTCACTGAGCTACTAAATTTGTCCTAGCCCTCAGAAAGGATGGCAGAACCACCAAATACCAGATGATTTAAAAAATGAACGAACAAAAAAGCAGTTGAGGATGAATAATTTACACTTTTTTTTTTAGTTTTACAAATGAAGACATTGAGGTATAGAGAATTTAAGTATCTTCACCAGCCTCACACAGTCAACTACTGGCAAAGCTGAGACCAAGAGATATGTCTCAGTCTTTAAATGAGGAAGAATTTCTCCTAGTTATCATTTACTATTGCTTGGACTTCATGTCAATGTGTTGCTTCTGCTGGAAGCGACTTCCAACCTCTTCTATTTAGTTCCTCACCCAATGACACAGCTCCAACTAGCAACTCTGCTGTGGCCAAATACACACGAGTATGGCTGCAGAATCTTTTAAACTACATGGAAAGTTGGGGGGGGTAAATATAAATAATACAAAGATAAAGGGACACTCAATTGATGATTAAGCAGCTAGTGAAATGAGATCAGCAACCAAAGTTTCATTTGACTGCTTCTGGATCCATGTCACACAAATCCATTCAAGGGGCTCTATCCATTCTCTTTCATAGAATGACTTAGAACAGCATTCAGCCAAAGATAACAAATTCTCAATCTTTTCTGCATTATGGACATTATCTCTTCTACATTTTCAGTTTCAGTTTATGGCCTCTTCAGTTCTATATTTCTTCTAGATTTAAAAGGTTTTATGGTGGAGGAACTCCAGCTCCCAAAGAACTATATTGAATCATCAACAAAAGCAATTCTTTCTTGGGAAAGGAACTCACAAAGGCCGATGATCAGCCACAGAAAGAACCATGCAGCTCAGCTGTTTCTTGCCATCTGCTCCTCTATTCCTTCTTTTTTTTCCAGAGGGTAGAGGCATGTGGACAATTCTGGCCCTCAAGGGTCCTCATCTTTAGACAAATATGACAAATGAGGAGGAACTAGCTGATGAACTGAGTGTCTGTGTCCCACTTTGAGAAACCACTGCACATGGCATTTATTTGGCCAGAGGAAAAAATGAGGCCTCAATTTTCTCCCCCAACCCAATCAGAGTAAAGAAATGGTAACAGAAGGAAGAGGCAATTTTTGCCTAAGAACCAGTTTCTCTAGTTCTACCTAACAGGAAGAGAAGAGCCAATAGGTAAATGGAAGAGGATCTTACTGTGCTTTTTGGTGTGGGCCTTTGCAGGGTGATCTTGCTCCTTTTTCATATCCAGTGACTCTGCTTAGGAGGAAAAAGAAATGAGAGTGGTTCCATTTATCCATTTCCTAACAACATGTATTGGATACTTACTGTATTTCTGGCACTGTCGCTATGTGGTAGTAAACCAAACAAAACATAATAAATATTATGGAGAAAAATAATACAGGGTAAAATAAATAGCAATAGAAGTATAAAGGTGAGGATAATTTGTAATTTAATACGAGGTAGTCACAGACAAGCTCTCTGACAGAGACCTATACCACAAACCATGCAGAAAGCTTGTGAAAGAGACTTCTATAGGTGAGGATGGTTAAATGCAAGAGCCCTGAGGTCAGTATGTGTTTAATCCAGAAGCAAAGTGGGGGAAGCTCCCATCACTGACTATGTTCTAAGACTTAATTTTAAGGACTTTATTCTGAGAGAAATAGGGAACCACTAAAGGATTGAACTTACTAGAAAATGTTTTTACATAATATAAGAATGTAAACATTTACAATGAAGAAGGATGGCTTTGGAGCCAGAGAAGTACCCCCTTTTTTTTTGGCATGCAAAGTTACATTTTAATCACGCTGACAAAGAGGCCATTGAATGATCAGAACTGGGCACAGAGGGCCACAGTAGACTATGGAAACACAGATTAGTTTAACAAATGACTCATTATGGCCACCTTTTCACTATCCCCAAAGAGCAGGTGACAGAGGCAGACCTAGGCGGTTAAAAGCCTTCTTCAACAAAACCAATGTCTGGTGCTACCTGTCCTCAGTCATAGCAGAAAGCCAAAAGGTCCACTCTCACTGGAGCAGAGGGAGAATGGTGATTCTTATGGCTAAGAAGGGGAGGGGAGGGACAAGGAGAGAGGCTGAAAGATAGGCAGCAAAATGCAGTTCCACAGGAATAGTAAGTTTGGGTCTTCTGTGGCACAGCAGGGTGACAATTATTCACAAGTTAAGATTCTTATAAAGAACTAGAAGAGGGGCTGGGAAGGTGGCTCAGTGGTAGAGCGCTTGCCTTGCATGCATGAGGCCCTGGGTTCGATTCCCCAGCACCACATAAGCAAAAAGGAAAAAAGCCGGAAGTGGTGCTCTGGCTCAAATGCTAGAGCGCTAGCCTTGAGCTGAAGAGCTGAGGGACAGCGCCCAGGCCCAGAGGTCAGGCCCACGACCGGACCCAAAAAAAAAAAAAAAAAAAAAGAACTAGAAGAAAGAGCTTCCAAGGCTCCCAACACAAAGAAATGATAGGAATCTTAAATTGCTCTGACTTGATCATGGCATGTTATATACACGTATCAAATTATCACACTGTTGCCCATAAATATATTCATTTATTAACCAGGCACAATGGTACACACGTATAATCCCAACACTCTGGAAGCTGAGATAAGTGGATCACAAATATGAAGACAGGCTGGGACACACTCTGAGAACTTGTCTCAGAAAACAAAAAGTTTAACTATTGTATCAGTTAAAGAGCAAAAGGAAACCAAATGATCTAGCTCTGTGTGTGTGTTGGGGGGTGGGGGGATCTCACAGAGGGCACTGGGAATGTTGTGAGAACCAAGGCAAATCTCAAAAACACATATTCCTAACTAGCCAATTTTAAAACAAAGTACTCCTTAAACACAAGTCAATGTTTTCAAGAGAAATGGCCAGGAAAACCTGTCTCTTGCATGAACTTCCTAACCTGGGGGCTCATTGACCATGTGTGGATCTAAAGACATACTAGACTAAAGCTGGGTACTAAGCAAGGGATCACAATTGTTTGAATTGGTCCCTTATTCAAAACAGTGCACAAACCACTCATTTAAGTAGAGGACATATCAAGTGCCCGGCACTGTCCTACTAAGCACTTTCCATGAACTATCTTAGATAACCCTATCAGATTGGCCCTCTGTAATCCATAGTTAACAGCCACGGGAGATTTGGGAAGTAGAGAGGTCAGATGACTAGTCTATAGTCCCAACAGCCTGATGTCCAGATGTGAACACAAAGAGCTTGAATCTGGAGGCTTTATTCACTATGGTTATTCTATGCCATTTCCAAAGATAAAAGCCTAGACTCTATCACAATAGATTTGACCAAAAAAACTAACTTTGAGATTAATGATTGTGTATTCCCCAACGTGCATGGATCCATTTCTCCATCTGATCTAACATTTTCTCCAAAAGCTGTGGTACAATGGAGAAGAGGAATTGAGAAAGACCTGGCTAGAGAAAAATGCTCTTGTTCTGGTTGAGAATTTTTTCTCTTGGCATCGTCACCGGGATGGCCGGCACCCTACTTGGGTTACCCTGAAATCTCAAAGGACAAATTCACAGGAAATGCAAGGAGAACGTCACTCTCCCTCCCTGCAGGTTTCAGGGAGAGGTTGCGACACCCCATCAGGATGTGACAATATTGCAACAGCTCTGGCACCCACCCCGGTTTCCAAGCGATACATCACCTTGTCAGGGCCATGTTGTCCTGAAGACAAAGGGTGGCATTTACCCAGCAGGCCACAAGCAAAGCTCATTTTCAAATGGTATCCAGGAGGGGACAGAACCATTATTTCAGAGCCAGGATTGAATTCAGAAAAAGCCAGGTGTCTCTCAGCATCTTGGCTTTGGTCATTGTTTATAAGCTCCAAACTGATGCAGAACCATTTGCTTTGGAGTTATCTTTTGTGAATAGGGTGAGAACCTTAGACATCGTCTCCTTGAAACTGCATATATGTGTACAATCATGATATTGTGTCAGTCATTTCAGAGGTCATGGCCCATTGAAGAATTTGTGAGCTGTAAATAAACCGTGGGGCAGTTTACCTTTTTTTTTTTTTCCATTGAGATGTCAGTTACCCAAGCTAGACCTCCATCCAGCTTGGGAAAGATTTTCTTTAAGAAACAACAACAATAAAATCTTCCGATCAAAATCTCCTATCATCATATGGCAAAAAGAAAGATCTCCTGTCTTCTCCTCTTCTTCTCCTAATGTGCAGGGACAAGGCACAGAATCCCTGACCTGCTTTGGCATTGAAATCTTCTGATCTATATTCTCACTTTCAAACAACTAGCCACTAGCCATGTTGTATGAAAGGAGAGAAGGTTAGCCCTCTCCTTGACAAGAGTGAAGGCCCTTGAGCCTGACAACACTCATATGGTTAAGGCATTGCCACCTACTTTGTGGCATCTAATCATCATTTTTCACTAGACACTGTTGAAAATGAACTTTACAATGGGGTGGGAGTGGCAGGGAGCAGGAGAAAACAAGGGAGGGGATGACAATGTTGGAAAAGAAATGTACTCAGTACCTTACTTATGTAACTCTAACCTCTCTGTATATCACCTTTAATTAAATTTAAAAATTAAATGAAAACACTAAATTTCCCCCAAAGGAAAACAAAAAAACAAAAACAACTAGCCTTTCTCTCTTCTTCTGTCCTCCCTACTGCCACAAAATAAAGCCAGGTCTTTGAAGTTAGCCATGTGGTTGATGATTCATTGTTATAAAATAATGGCTCACTCAGGGGAGGCTGTCCATTCTGGCTTTCTCTTGTTCTCCTTCTAAGAGCTCTAGGTCAAGGTTCACGGGGTCCAGGTAAGGAAAATTAAGAAGCCATAGGTTCAACACGCAGGTGTAAAGGCATGACTTCAGCTAAGCTGCTTCTAGAGAAGCAAAGATTAGAAATATTTGCATATGATTCATCTATGAGCCATTTCTTTACGGGATATACAAATTTTGGTGTTCTAATACACTGTGCCACCCTAGCTGGAGGCTCAAGTCAGTAGATAAACACATCAAGCCTGAGTTCACTTACACTGGCTGCAGGACCCAGGAGCAGATGAGAACCCTGGCAGGATCCATTTTATGAACTAGTCGATGACAGGGAAATCAAAACAAAACCCGCTTCCCACCTGTGCTATCTCAGAGGCCATCGGTTTACAGGAAATCTCACCTTAGCTTGAACTTGAACTTGCACTAAAATATAGCAAGAGACTTAACTACATTATTTTATGAGAGGTTGTGATGGAAAGACTTGGACACATGGCAAAGGTCTTTTGGAGAATTCTGGTCCCATCTAGGAGAGACTAAACAACTCTGGAATGAATTGGCCCATACTAGTTGGTAAGTAATATTACTGAAGGGTTGTTCCTTCACAAAATTTATCCACTGTTGACACTGCTGACACTTTAGGGCACAATTCTGATGTTGATCTCATAGTCTAACCTGCTATAATCACAAGAGGAAATGGGGAACAGAGAACAAGGGTACAGGAAAATCTGAGTGAGAATATTCACACAGCTGGTTCAATGTGAAAATTCAGTAGGTAGACTCATGTACCAAGTAGACACAGGGTTCTTTGTGACTATAAATATACAAGTAGAAACCAGTCCCCAAAACCCCCATTAACTCTGAGATTCCAGAAGGCCTAAATGTTTCAGCGAAGTCCCAGAACAGGTAAAGATGACCTGGCAGAGTCAGCAGAGTTCAGAACTGTTCAGATTTATCCAGGAGTCTCCAGACCTAGCAACCCCTGAGGCTTGGGAAGTGCTTGGTTTCACTTTATTCTTGGTTGGAATCTTCTGCCCCAGGCAGAAAGAAGCTTCCATTGGGAAGTGTGAAAAGTGACACCTGAGGAAGTTCCACAGGAAGTCAGAGGGGGACCTAGTGGCTTCCTTCACCCAGAAGTCCTTAGTGTTGACTGGGTGGCAATGACTGCCACAGAAATTTTATCCGATGCACTGTTCCTCCAGTGTCAAAGATACAGCAGAGAGGTCGCAGTGTTTGTTCTGTTTCCTGATCTCCCAGTGATACAGGGTGTGAAGGGTTGCTGGAGGGAGAGGGATGCCAAGAAAAGAACTGGCTCTGCGTCTCAACCTTAACTCCAGGAGCATTTACACTGGCATTTAGCCCTGTCTCCTGCAGCGGGCTTGACCTCAAACAAATCTCAAACCAAAAGGCTTTGGTTATTTCTATTCTGAAGAACACAAACTCCACAAAGGAAAAAAAAAAGGATCATTGCTTAATTCCATGCTTTCTTTCACCAAAATACATTTAAATACCAGTTCTGAAGTTTCCCAAATCAATTCCTAGAGAAGAGCCATTTCCCTGGAGGGAAGTTGATATGTAAAGTCCATTTCTAAGATGTAAGGCGTCCCAGAACTTTATGCTCAGGTCAAAGGACAACTCAAAACCTTGTATTTAATCCTTATACTGTACATGTAACTTTACCTATTGTCTGAAATTCCGTTTCCCAGACCCAAAATGGACCAACTCTATCATTTGCTACAACAGTAACTGAGTTTCTGGAATCCAATCTGAGCCAAATACAGCTCATTATGAGCATAATTTACATGGTGCAGGCTCATCAGAATTAGACTTTAAAACTGGGGGTGAGGGGGAGAGGAAAGTAAAGGAGAGAAGAAGGATTCAAGGATTCCTGAAAGTTCCAGAACCCATCACTACACGTTCATTGTTCTCTGGACCCATTGTCAAATATTCTTTGTCTAAAGCCAAATGTAACTGGTATGTGAATGCTGATGAAAATCAAATATAGGCTATTGTCCCATCCATACAAATAATTTTATCAAATCGATCCCAAGAGTTATTGTTGTCATTAAAAAAGTGGAAAACACAAACAACTTTTGTTGTCACAAGGGTAACTGCTTCACACAAACATTTGTCCTACAGAAATCCCAAAGATTATCATATTTAAATTTACACTATTACAGTATGCATATTGGCTCCAAAGCACACCTATTCAGACAAATTAGAACCCACTTCCTTCCCTAGCCTTTTCATGAAAAGGAAAGTTCTCACTCTTTCTCAGGATGCATTAGACTATTTTAGCTTCAGATGTCAGAACAACTTACCCATAGGAAGGTGACCGCTGGTTGCCATGGAGATCTGGGCCCGGCAGAAAGATTTGCTATCCAACAAATCTGCAGCATGAACAAATAGGGGATAGGAAGAATACCCTCCTGTAACACAACCCCTTGGCAATGAGGGAGAATAACAGCACTACAGGGTTTTCAGGACTGGGGAGTTAGTTACCTACTGTGCTACCATAGTTGGTGTCGTATAAATAGTTTTCTTCTTTCCAGGTATTCATGACGGAAGGGTCTACAAGGAATAGAAAATGGGGAATGTCAACCTCCATTGCCCCAGGATGAAGACCTCCCTCTTCTAAATCTCTGCTCATCAAAAAGATATCAAAAAGTAATGTAGTCAGGTGCTGGTGGCTCATGCCTATAATCCTAGCTATTTAGGAGACTGAGATCTGAGGATCACAGTTCAAAGCCAGCCTAGACAGGCAAGTCCCTGAGATTCTTTTATTTATTTATATATATTTTTTGTTGGTCCTGGGGCTTGAATTCTGGGCCTAGGCGCTGTCCCTTCACTCTTCAGCTCAAGACAAGTGCTCTACCACTTGAGCCACAGTGCCACTTCCGGTTTTCTAGTGGCTTATTGGAGATAGGAATCTCACGGCCTTTCCTGCCTGGGCTGGCTTTGAACTATGATCCTCAGATCTCAGCCTCCTGAGTAGCTAGGATTACAGGCATGACCCACTGGCGCCCAGCCCCTCCAGGAGATTCTTATCTCCAATTGATCACAGAAAAAAAAACAGAAATGGCACGGTGGCTCAAGTGTTAGAGTGTTAGCCTTGAGCAAAAGAAGCCCAGGGACAGTGCCCAGGCCCAGAGTTCAAGCCCTAGGATTGGCAAAAAGGAAAGAAAGAAAAAGAAAGAAGAAAGGAAAGAAAGAAAAAAAGAAAGAAGAAAGGAAAGAAAGAAAGAAAGAGAGAAATAAAGAAAGACAGAGAGGCAAAGAGAGAGAAAGACAGAGAGACAAAGAGAGAGAAAGAGAGAGGGGAGGGAAAGAGGGAGGGAGGGAGGGAGGAAGGAAGAGAAACTTAATACCTGACTTATGTAACTGTAACCCCTCTGTATATCACCTTTACAGTTGAAAAAAAAAAAAGGTATCAGAAAGGCATGGGTTAGGAGAAGGCCCTTGGAGAGAAGGGATGAGAGATTGCTTTGGTCCAGGTTACTTTAGAAAAATGCAATCTTATTTTCCCCCCAGCATCTTGGGGAAAATAGCTGAAGTCCACTCCTGTCCTTGTGACCGATGCCTATCACGTTTTTTCAGGGAAATGAGATTTTTCTTTTACAACAATGAAATCCTGTCTTAGAACAATGTTTTTTTCCCCCCCTAGGAATTTTTCTAGCCTGCCTTAGTCTTTTCTTACATCCTACTATAATATCTCCAAAATACTTTTACCCTTGGGTAAGGAGAATGCCTTGTCTGGGACAAATAAATCTATAATAAATGGTTAATGGGCACATTTTTTTATAACTACCTTCCTGAAAGAATTGATACTGTTGCTCTCAGAAAAGGCTCTATAATCCTGTTTTCCTTCATTGCTAAAATTCTAAGAGTCCCCTAAGTTGGGGGACAGGTCCCCTTGCTTTAGGATCTCTCCAATTAGCTTATAATATTCTCAAAGCAAAACCAGCAAGAAGAAAGAGAGCGTTACAAAGTCAAACAAACAGCTTTGATGAGTGGGGCCCATTGCCTCATCTCTGGGATAAAGAAATACTGGCTCCCTGGCTCACTGTTCATTCTCCTGCTTGCTGTGTAAGCATACCTCACTCTAAACATTTCAGATCAGAAGGGAACTCCCCTCCGCCTACCCTAAACGAAGTCCAAACTCCCACATAACCCCCTAGCCTCTGTCATAAGCATTTTTTTAATGAATGGTCAAGAGCTCTAAGATTTCTTACCTTGTCTACCCTCCTCCGAAACTTCCTGCCTTCCCTTACCCCGAGATGCATGCTGCCTTCCTGCCCAGGATCTGAGTTTGAGAGCTAAAATGACAAGCCACTGGCCCAGTTTCATTTTGTTTTTATAGCATAAATTGTATAAAACCTGACTCACTGCCTAAGTCTTCTTGTTTACGACATAGGGATTTAGCTGGTATTTTACCTAATAGATAGATACATGTTTGGACACCCCAAGCCCAGTCTCCTGGAGTTACACCCTCTCTCTTCATTGGGTCATCTCATACACCTGTTGTTGTCTCTGAAAACAAACCAAACCAAAGAGGTTTGGGGGTGTTGGCCCCTCCATGAGCCTCTTCTCCTCTCCTTCCAGGGTGGGTCTTCCATCTCCACCCTTCAGCTTAGCGTTTCTGAACTGGCAACACAAGAATGTCTAGATGGTCAAGGGGAATTAGTGAGTTCTGCAGAACCTCTCCAATATCACCCTGACTCCCCAAGGGAGGCTATCTACCAGGTGAAGGCCATTCAGCCCTGTGTCTATCTCCAGAGCTAGAGCAGACCTACAAATCAAAGACTATCCAGGCCCATCCCCTAGATTCTAGGGACCAGGGCAAGGCTAGGAAGGACTAATTAAATGCTTCGAAGCTATTGGGTTTTTTTTCCTTTAATAATGGTAGACCAGTCTCCTTATTAAAGAGGAAATAACTGCATGGGCTAATTTTGGTGCCAAATGACTCGCAAATCAGCCTCAGGTCAAATTCTGTCCTAAGTATCTGGTACACAACCTTCAGGGAGGCTGATAGCCAAGTTGATCAGGCCACATGGCTCCAAACCTCCCTGATGTAGACATAGGGAGTGACCCAGGAGCAGTTACTCTTACACATAAGGATTAGGGGACCGTTTCCATGAGTTAGGACAGAAGAGAGGAACAAACACAAGAGTAGATACTGTGAGAGTGTAGACTTGTTGAGAACCCAGTACAGTACCTGTCATGTGAAAATATGCTAAAAGCAAGAACTGGGTTCCAAGGTAACTTGAGAAAATGGGTAGGGTTGAGAGAGATGGGAAAGAAAAGTGGCGAGGGTGACATTGATCAAGATACATTATACTCATAAACTGACACGTTGAATTGAAATCCTTTTTTTTTTACAACTACTTAAAAATAAAAAGAGCCAGGCACTGGTGACTCACACCTGTAATCCTAGCTACACTGGAAGCTGAGATGTGAAGATCAAAGTTCAAAGCCCCAGCCTGGGCAGGAAAGTCCCATGAGACTCTTATCTCCAATTTAGCACCAGAAAACCAAAAGTGGTGCTGTGGCTCAAGTGGTAGACCATTTGCCTTGAGCTGACAAGCTCAGGGACAATGCCTAGGTCCAAAGTTCAAGCCCCATGACCAAAACCAAAAAAGGTAAAAAGAATTGGCTTCCTAAGAAATGTGCTCATTACCTTGCTCACGTGAGTGTAATCCCTCTGTACAGTATTTTCACAATAAAAAATGTATTTAAAAAAAAAGAACTGGGTTCCTTTGCTGCTTTGAGACATCCCAATGAAAATTCCCTAAAGCCCCAGAAACTATGCAAAGTATACCACCAGCTCAGCATCTCCCTTCTTCCTTCTTGTAAGCGCAGGCCTTGCTAAGCAGAGAGGAAGGAGAGAAGTCATTGACTCGCTCTGTCTCTCTGTCTCTCGGTCTCTGTCTCTGTCTCTCTCGCTCCCTCTCTCTCTCCCTTCCTGCCTCACTCACTTTCCCTCGCTTTTCTGACCTTAGCCACATCCACTCCCCTTCTTTTGCTAGTGATGAGGTCCATCTTAAATTCCACATTCTTCCAGTCATCCGCTTAGACTTTGAACATTGCCCTGAACAGTGGGCAGAAGGAAAGAAGTATGGGGAAAAAAGCTGCTTACCATCGGTCTATGCCTCATGAAGATCACTGGTTCCAGACAAGAGGAGAGGCTCATGGTATAGTGACCCATTGGAGAAAGGAAAGAAAAAGGCCTTCTCGGGTTTCCTGCCAAAACCTACTCCCACACTATCCCTTAAGACTCCCTCCTGATTGTTCTCCCCAGGGTCTAACCTGGCTAAGTTGACTCCCTTCATCTCTCATACTCACCGGTTTGTTCAGCCTTGACGATGACATTGTGTGGAGACTGGAACAGGTCACTGCTGCACTGGCCTGTGAAGGATAGAATGGGAATGTCAGGGAGGGCCCGGCTGGAGCCAAACCTTGGTGCTTCAGGAAGGTCATAGTTGGCTTTTTCAAAAAGCTTCTGCCTTTTCACAACCTAGCTAACCATGTTCGCTTTGTAAGGAGTCGGGTGGGACTTCCCTCTTCACACTCAAGCCTGGACACTGTCCCTAACACCAGAGAATCACTGGTCTAGAGCACTCCCACCAAATGGAATTATTTGGCATTGTGGAGGAAAGACATCCAGTATGGAGGACATACAACATTCAGTGAAAGAGACCAGTTTTTCCATTGCTAGCTAAGAGGTCTCAATTTCCTCATCTGCATATTTAGGGGATTAAATTAAACAGTCACTAGATAGCCTCCACGGTACTTTCCCATACTAAGACATGATGTGAAATGGAAGCAAAAATAATGGGGACACTACTTCAATTTAGCTAGCTTGATTTTTCGTTAACCTTAAATTTACTCAACCAATTTGGATTACATTCAGCCCATGAGATACATCTGGATTACAGGCAATGAGCTTTCTTTTATTTATGTCAGATATCCTTGGGTTTTTCTGACAACCCCTCTCGTATTATATGGTATCCAATATACATACACATGAATGGATCTAAAATGGTCCCAGACAGATCATCAACATTTCAGGTGTGGAGGTCACGTACTAATCTTTTGACCTCTTGTGTTTTCCATCTGTAAAATGGATATACAGCACGTATTCCATTCCAAGGTCATTAAATGAATTGATTTGCTGGGAACGAATAGATGTAAATACTTAATAACTTTAAGTTAAACTACAAAAAAAAATCAAACCAGGAAACAAAGGTGAGAAACCTTGCCATTAGGCATCAGAGGTAACAGCAGCAGCCTGGCCACCACCACATCTCTCAGGCCTCTCAGCCTCAGGCTCAATCAGGGCAAAGCTTTAAAGAAGTGGGACTTAATTGGAGGTGGGAAGGTAAATGCTCTGAATTCTTTAAGTTCAACGCTGCTCTTTCTGAAGTTTCAGGGAATGGAGGTGGGGGCTATTTATAGACTTTTGTTTGGTTTGGTTCTAGTAAAAGAGAAATGAGCAACCACTGTGGTAAGGTAGTGGGAAGAAGGAAGTGCCAAGGTGCTGAATGACATCATCCAAAATGGCCGCCACAGCTGCCATTCCATAGCCAGCCTACCAGGTCATCATGTTGATGGCAGCTGCCAGGGTCTGGCTTTGGCTTACAGCCCTCCTGCTCGAATTGCCTCAACCCTAGATACTTGCCCAAACATAACTTCTGCTAGGATATAAAGGCCTTTCTCAACATGGACAGTCAGCTGAGAATCTTTAAACATGCCTGCTTTCCTGGATTCAAGGAGCAGGTAGAGTCCCATGCCAGTGTCAAAGGCATTATGCAAGGTAAGTTGGGTCTTCCCAAGTCAGTCTAGAGTATGTGTGGACACTATTGATGTGTGATGGACAGAGTTTGCAGGGCTGCCTGTCTGGGAAGCCTTGAGAGATATTTGAGGTATAAGGACAGCTTCAATTACAGAAGTCACTAAACAAACATTCCAGGTGTCCAAACTGCTTGTTCAAAATCTGTTTTCTCCCCCCCGCAACTTTCTTTCTTCCTTTCCCTTCTTTCTTTCTCTTCTCTCTCTTTTTTTTTTTTTGCTTTCCTTTTTGTTTCTTTCTTTATCATGTAATTTTAAAAAGCTTCCAACTGGGGTTGGAGATTTACACTCAGAAGGTCCCAAGTTCAGTTGTCAGCTCTAAAAAAAAAAAAATCTTCCAAAAAAAGGTGACTATTCTCCTTTCTCAACCACACAAATCCAATTTCACATATTTTCTTACTACCCCCAAACCTCCATTTTAAGAACCCATATCTAGACCAAGTGTGGTGGCATATAATTGTAATTGGGAGTTGAGAGTTTGAAGTCAGCCTGAGCTATATAGCTAGACCTTGTCTGAAAGAAAAAAAAAGAAATTAAAAAGCAAACAAATGCTAGGTTTAGATTGCTTTTTAAGCAGATATAATGATTTTTAATGAGTAAACGACTGAAAACTTTTACATTTAGCAAATGTAAAAGAAATGTCTGTGTTGGAATAGTAAACTTTGCATAAATACCCAGTCAGGCCTTGTGTCTCTGGAAATGAATATCACCCTAAGGAGAGATCTAAATTACACTGTGATCATCAGGAATTAGACACACTTCCTATCCTAGCCCTTGCTCCTTCCTCTCACCTCCCTTCTCAATCCCTGTCTTGGAAAAAGTTCATTTGTCAGTGAACCCATCTTTTGTCCTTCCTGATAAGGACGCTTTCCAGCTGCAGAGCCTCTGCACTTCCTGGCCACCTCTCACCATTCCACTTGAGATGTTGAAGGTTGCTGTAGAGCAGCTGTCCAGCTGTGCCCGCTGCCCGCGTGAACTCCTGAAGACTCATGCTGCACAGGTGTTCGCCATTGATGTCAAACTCCTGGAAGGGGATGCAGCTGGCATCCAGCTGGTTGGTGTCCAGGAGATGTTGGAGCCACTCCCATACCTGGTACTTGGTCCAGTACTGGGGGTGTATTTCATGCCACTGGCCTCCAAAAAACCCACTGGAAACTGCAAAAGAGGAGGCGGCCCCGTGAGTAGCCATTCCTGGGCATAACTTTTACACATGGAGAGGCATTGCTGGGTATCAGATGTCATGAGGAACTCAATCTGTGTGTGTCACTGTGGAGGCTGGAACATGAGCTAAGCTCTGGAAAAGAGGTTCTTTCCCCCAATTGTTGTGGGATGATCATTTACCTCTGCATCTTCATGTCCTCTCTAGCATGATACTTATCCTTGGGCATGAGGTAAGGACTGGAAGTGCTCTATGCTCATGGACCTCTCCCAGACTATAGTATAAAAACTAAGGCACTGATACTGTTTCAGTCGCTTGTGAGCTTGTTATCTACACCCAAACACAGTCATCCCTCCATGAGTATGGTGGATTGTTTTCAGGAATCCTTGTAGACCAAAACCTGGGGCCATTCGACTCCCCATGCAAAATAGTGTAGTATTTGTATAGTACGTGTTATGGATCCTCTCAGACTTCAAATCATCTGTAGATGATGCGCCATCCCTAACACAATGACAATACCAGGGAAATGGCTGTTATTTTAGAAGGGACGATGAGAGAAAAAAAGCCTGTATATGTGTGGTGCCGACAACCATTGTTGTCTTGCTACCTTTTTGAACCTGTGGCTAGTTAAATCTATAGATACACTACCCTGGGATACAGAAGACCTGTAGCTCTTCTTCTCTGGCTTTATCTGTTTGTGTCTCTTTCACACATACCACAAAGAAACACAAATACACTCACATATTTCACATTATGTCTACCCCAAACTCAGACCATTTGCAACCACATCTGAGGTCTGAAATGAAGATCCTAATGTAGTCCAGATTATTCCAGAACTAACCATGGTGCTCTCTCACTGCCCCACTGATTACTATAGCAACCTGACACCACTACCCTACTCAGTTACCTTCAATATCTTCCCCAGTATCCACTAAATAAGATACAGAACTGCCAAGCCAGTTTTGGAGACTCTTAGCTAACTTCTTCAAGTAATCTGGCTTTTGTCTTTTATCTGTGCTGCTCGTTAAGCCCTGTTTGTGTTCTACTTCCTAGTCTAGTTGAATTCCTACCTGTCTCGCAAAGTCTGAAAGGTCATCAAGTGATCACTACTTCTCCTAGCCTACTTGGATGGATCCAAGGAAATATGCCTGGGATTTCTCCTAATGGCTTCTATCACGTTCTGCTTGTCTTTACTGATCCCTAAGTCCTGGTTAACCCATCCTCATATCAGCATTACAAAAACTTCCTTAAAGGCCTTCTATTACAGGGACTCACTACATGTTTATTCCACTACATGTTTTGCACAAGAAAAATAATGCAGGGGGCTGGGAAGGTGGCTCAGTGGTAGAGCACTTGCCTTACATGCCTGAGGCCCTGGGTTCGATTCCTCAGCACCACATAAGCAAAATGAAAAAAGCCGGAAGTGGCGCTATGGCTCAAGTGGTAGAGCACTAGCCTTGAGCTGAAGAGCTGAGGGACAGCGTCCAGGCCCAGAGTTCAGACCCCACGACTGGACCCAAAAAAAAAAAAAAGAAAAATAATGCAGGATTTTGGAAGCTCCTTGAGGTGCATCCATGAGATTATTAAGTCAGATGCCAGCAAAGAACTGAAGTTCATTTAAATCAATAAACACTGCTGGGCTTATAGTGTGGTAATTATCTATATTTATTTCTATGTATCTCTTACACTCACTTAAAAGAATACTACTGTCAGCGCTAAGCCATGGGAATAGGGCTGAGAGGAAAGAGCCAGCCCTGGGGCTAAGTTATGGGGCTGAGAGTTCTTACAGTGACTTCTAAACGCAAATCAACAAAAGGAGCTCTCTTTCAAGAAAAGCAAGGAATAGGTCAAGGACACCTGCATTGTATCCCCTACCAAGCTGAAGTAGAGGAAGTGCCACTGGACATGGCACAGACTCAAGATGTGGACCAGAGAAGGAAAGGTATTTGTTAGGGAACTGCCCGTAACTTCCTACAAAGTTACACTAGATCAGTACTTTCTCAAACTTCCATGTGATCACAAATCACCAATGAATAAAGCTCAGGTATAGATCAGGACTTAGCAGGATGGGGGAGAAGGAGGGGAAGCCAGGGTTTCTGCCTTTACTGGGATCCTGCTGCTGGGCTGTGGAGTGGCAGGTGGACACAAACTCCTGAAGGCTCACTTCCCACAACACTGATGGCCAAGCCCTCCACACCCCAGACCTACCCAATCCCATTTTCTAACCCAATCCCCCTGGTACTCATCCCTCAAAATCTATCATCTGCTTTCAGAAGCAGCAAATGCAGGAGATGAAGAGCATTTGGGGTGCAAAGGGGACTGCCATTGGTTCTATCTGCCACTCATAACACTGCATGATCAAACAAACATTGCCCTAGACTTTCAGCTCCAGTCCTAACAAGGATTGGAAACATTTATTGCATGTATGTAATTGTATAGAAATATTCCAAAATAAACAAAAGCACTGAGCTTAGCCTGGAGGGTTTTTTAAGTCCCCTCTAATATGTTTTGTGTCTTGCAAACACACCTGTTTAAGAATGGAATATATTTTTGTGGCTCCCTTAGTCATTGATCTTTTTTCCCCTTAAAATAAGTTTGCTGCTCCAACAATGCAGTTCTGGATTGCCAACAAGAAGCAACGATTTTCAATAACCCAGTATTAGGCCTGGCAGAATCTTTTCTGCTCACTTAATACAATCTCTGTTAAAGGTCGTTTCTAAACAGACACATGATGGCATGTGTCTGTCCTCTTAGCTACTTGGGAGACATAAATAGGAAAATTAAGTTTTGAGGCCAGCTCTGGACCAAACAAACACCTGCAATACTCTATCTGAGAAATAACTAAAGCAAATAATAAATTAAAAAATGACTTGAGGCATCATTCACAGACTACAGCATCTGCCCAGCAAGTATAAGGTCCTAAAATCAAACCTCATTACTGCTCATCTCTTATTCATTTAACAAAAAGGGTAGTGTCTGAAGTTGCATCCTGTTCAATATGTTGACTGGAGAAAGGTATCTCCTCAGGCAGATAAGTCATCAGATTCCCATGTTTCAGGAGAAACAGAAAACCCCACAAGTTCTGATCTCCATCATGGAGCTTCCTCTCTCCTTCAGTCTTACTAAAGAGCAAAAAGTCTTTTCTAGGCTTCTAGAGATTAAGAAATAAAATACAAATATAATTAGAGATTGCTTTCTTCAAGGGTTCCCAAATCTAGATACACAGACTCTCTCTCTGTTTGGAAGATTCCTGCTAGGTGCCAGGAACTTAACAGGGAACCTAAGGCCGGCAACAAAATACATAACTGCCAAGAAAGGGCAGCAATGTTGTGGGACAAGTGAAGAAAGAAGGCTACCTGCTCACACTTCCTGCTGTGTTTGGCTGGGGTTCCAAACTAAGAGAGGTGGAGCGCCACATGGATCAGCCTTTTGTGGGAGAATAGAACTCACTGATTGCTCTCTCACTCCTACTTCTTCGACTCTGCTTGCACACACACACACACACACACACACAAATGAACAGCAGAGTCTCTGGCAGGGAGATTAGTGGCAGGTGTGGGGCATAATAAATCCCAGAGCTTTCTAGATCCAGTGCTACTGGTCACTCAGCAGTCTGCCTACACAGCCCGCCTTCATAGCCGGGTGTGGGGCCCTGATTTAGCAACAACTCCATTTCCTTCAGCTTCTGCAGTAAGCCCAGGGCTTGATCAACTCTGTAAGATGTACCATGAAGTCCCCCCTCACCCCCGCACTTTGCATAGAATGTTCTAGATTAAAGCACTAAAGGACAACACCTGGTTCCCAATCACTTTCTCTCCTTCTATGCAGGGAGGTCACTGCAAGATGAACTAGAAAGTTGAAGCTAAAACCTTTCCCCCCTTAACTTGCATGCTCATATGTTACTCCTACACACACTTAAATGTTGTGTGGGACACACACATATGTGTTGTGCCCATGAACAAAGGCTTTCCCTATCGTATCTCCCTCTTTCACTGGTGGCATTTGGGATTGAATCATAGTGTATGCTTAGCAAGTACTTTATCACCAAGCTACCCATCCAGCCCTTTAACTTTATTGAACCCTTTAAAGAGCTACACTGGGTTGAACCCAAGGCCTCTCACCTGCCAGACAAGCACCTACTGCTGAGCTACATCCCTAGCCTTCCCTAGCCTGCCATAATATTCCAGCAAAACACCATGAAAGCTTCAACAGGAGGTCTTCCCTTCCCTTTGGGAATTTCTTCTATCACCCCCAGCACCAGGCTGCTAACCTGAAACCTTGCCTTTCAGTGGGAGACAGGGGAAGACAGTAGAGCCGCAGACAGCTCCAGCATTACACGCTTCCGGATGAGGGCAGAGCTCAGTGGTAGCATATGCAAAGCCTTGGATTCGGTCCCCAGAAGTGCAAGCAAAATAGACTGGTCCCTATGTCCCTTGTAAATAGCATCTGTAGTTCCCAAATGTTAATTTGGGAGAGGAATTTAAGCAAGGAAGGATGCGCATGGGCAGTGACACCTACATGTGTGCATGGGCAGCAATGCCCACGTCTTCATGGCTCTTACCATTGCACGTGGGATAGCCGTCTGTCCAGGCTGGCTGCTGGTGAATGAGGTTGTTGCCTGGGTTGAGATTCATTACACCACTTCCTTCCAGAATCATGATCTGTAAAGGGTCAAACAGCTGGTTCAATCTGTGCCTTATGGACAAACATTACTGAAGAGTTCAGATCAGAAAGTTAATTTTAGAGGAAACCAGAGAGAGAGAGAGAGAGAGAGAGAGAGAGACAAGAGAGGTAGAGAGAGAGAGAGAGAGAGAGCCCTTCCCCACATTGCCACAGCCTTTTCAGTAAAAGCAATACCCATGGCAATTAAAAATTTCCAAGTTTGATTTTCATATGCATGAGGCAAGTATTTGCAGCCACCCATTCATAAATGAATAATCTCTGATCAGGAATGAAGCAGGAGGAAAATGCAATACCTGCTCCCAAGGCAAGTCTGGCCAACATCCAAGTTTCTTACAAAAGTGAAAATGCCAGATAGATTTAAAGTGAAATTTCAATCAATGAAATTTCAGACCCAGCACTGATGTAGGAACTCAGACTAAAATCAGACGTTTGAGAGTCTTCATACAGTCAGTGGGCCCCACACCTGGGGCTCCATTAACGTCTCCTCAGTGTGGAGATCTGCCACAGGACGGGCCAGCTGTCTGGGGCCTGTGCCATGTTTTAGTAAAGCTCCTCAAGTATTTCTGGTTTTGTGATATGATTCAGAATGACTTTGTTTCTCCAACAGACACTTCCCCCTTTCTGGAAAAAAAATAAAATTTTGTCTTGGGGCTGGGAAGGTGGCTCAATGGTAGAGCGCTTGCCTGGCATGCATGAGGCCCTGGGTTCAAGTCCCCAGCAACACATAAGCAAAAAGAAAAAAAAGCCAGAAGTGGCGCTGTGGCTCAAGTAGTAGAGCACTAGTCTTGAAGAGCTGAGGGACAGCGCCCAGGCCCAGAGTTCAGGCCCCACGACCGGACCCCCCAAAAAAAGATTTTTGTCTTTATTTTTTTAATCTCTAATGTTTTTCTCCTTTCTGATAAAAGTTATGACACACATTTATTCTTCCAGAGACCTGGAGAATTTAGCGGGGTTTGGATCGGTCCTCAAGTTGACTTCTTCAGTCTGTGGGCTCAGTTTCTCTGCTAATGATGCAGGAGAAGAGCTTTTCCCCCATGCATCTTTTGCAATGTTTAAACAAGGTGGAACTTTTTACACTTTAAAAATATTCCCTCCATTCATTTAACAGTTATGACGTGCCTGCCCCCAAACTGGGCACCCTCCACATTTCTGATCAGAACCTCAGGGTGTGTGCAACCATTCAAAGGAAGGGCAAGTTTTCTCTAGAAGCTTAGTGAGCATTGCCCCGAGGCTGTAAAAGTCATTTGCTCTTTATACAATGCTGAGGTGGGGACAGAAGTCAATAGCTACAGATCATGGAAATTTTTTCTGCCTGTTTGGGGAATTTTTTACATGCTCAGTTGTTACCAAGGACCACCAATTGGAACTGTCCCCCTACGTTTATTCCATATCCTGACTCCACCACCCCTCATCCCAGCAACTCAGCTTCTACCCCTCTGATTCTGTGTCAGAACTGAGGGAGAGAAGATGAACCCTATCCTGATTTATTTAACAAATATTTATCAGCCCAATGAAGGGCTGGGCACTGTTTAGGGATAGAGCAGTGATTAAGGGTTGAACCAGGCTAGACATGAACATTCGTGATGATTATTAATATGGTCATCATTGGTGGTTGGTAAATAAGTAGGCTTGAATCCAGCCTAAGTGGAAGGTGGAGAAGGAAAGACAAGGTAGGAATGGGGACCAGTGTAACCAGGAATAGCTCTCTGGGTGGAGAAATAGGAGAGTAGGGTTTTGTCTCCGGGTCTATCTATTAGGAGAAATTTGAAACCAGAAGAGCTGAGGCCCACTCCAGGCTCTCCCACTTACTAGCCAGAGTTGCTACTAGTCACACAGGTTACTTAACCTCTCTGAACTCATTTCCTCCTATGCCAAATGCTGATGATCACCCAAAGCCTGGTCAACATAGATTGGAGACCAAATGAATTTGTCACAGAGCAGGTCATAATTAAGTAGGACAGATGTGACAATGAAGAAAGTCCACTACCTGATTGCAGAGCCTGATCAGAAACAACACTGAACCCCAGCTTTCCCTTCTAAAAATTGATTCTTGAGTGAGTTCCTTTCTGGAAAGTTCTGTGATTCTCACCCACAGAGAAGGAAAAAGCCATCTCAGGTGAAACTTCTCTCTCTCTCTCTCTCTCTCCTCTCTCTCTCTCTCTCTGTCCTCTCTCTCTGTCCTCTCTCTCTGCCCTCTCTCTCTCTCTCTCTCTCTCTCTCTCTCTCTCTCTCTCTCTAATATAATAAGTAGGCATGTTTCCTATCAGCTTTCTAGAATAATGCCCTGGAGCTAAGAAAGCAGTCTGGGGACTTGAAGACCAAAGAAAAGCTTGGAGTCCCCAGGAGGAAGGGTCAGGGAGGGAGAGAGGGCTCAGTCTCTTGTTTGCCCAAGGCTGGGTTCCTTCCTGGCCAGTATTTGCACCACCATAAGCAGTGGAAAGGTTACTGTTTAACCCTGAAAGAGCTGAAGCTCAGTGCCTAGCCTGTTTGTAGGGAGGGACTTGCCAATCTTCTAGGCTTCAGGAGCACAGGCAGGAAAAGACTTCTCTGAAAATCTTTTATGAGGATTTGCCTCCAAGACTGTGGCAAAGAGACCATTTCAGTGGGAGTAAAATTGTCCTTGGCCAAACTGGAGCCACCTCCCCGCAGAAGACAAGCATGGTGTCCTCATTTGTCAGAATTGGATGTGGATTTCTATCCCTACCCCCCTGCTTCACATAGATGGCTCTGAATTCCAGACCTGCCCAACCAAAACCTTTCTGGTCCCCACTTCGCCCACGAAGGAAAAAAATGAGAACACCACTGAACTCAAAGCATTAGCAGACCCACAGGAGATCATGCATGTGGGGAACTTAACAGGCAATAATAACAATTTTTGAAAGAGTTCACTAAGTGTCTCAAGCCAATGCATAGTATTTGTAAGGATCTTTCCTCAGGAGAGGCATTGCTTCTTGCCATAACAATCTAGAAGCATCCAGAACTATTCCCCACTCACAGAGAGGCCTTCAAGACTTAAGGCTTTCAGCTGCCTCATCCCCTTCTCCAACCCTCTCTCCAGCATTGCTTTCTGACAGCACCCCCTTTTCCAGGGGAAAGCAGGCTGTGTGGTGAGGGGCCCTTTTTATAAGGCCAATTAAATGGTTACTACTCATAAAAGAGTTTATGTGGCTTAACTCTCAGTGAGTCAGAGTTCATGAGCTCCCCTAGGCTTGTGAACACAGGATGTTGGGGGCTGGGACCCATGAGGACCCACAGGACTTCACCGTGAGATGGCCCTAGGATGGGCTAAGAGAGCCAAATTCTTTGGTCAAGTCCCCCTGAGGCTCAGTTCAGGTATAAATTTGGGGGAAAGGGGACATTTGCCTTCCAACAGTCTCCCAGGATGGTTGAGGAGAGTAAATGAGATAATGGATCATAAATGTACCCTGAGAACTGTAAAACAACCCTCTTCTGACCAACACACCCACACCCCCTTACACTAATAAAGACTTTCCATGGTATATGTGATTGCTTTATGGGATATAAAAAAAAGCAACCCTTTTAATTAAAAAGAAGAAGGATTATTTAATGCTCTGTTTTCAGCTCCCTATTTTACCCTCAGTGTAGCTTTCCTGAAGAAAAAAATTTGTCAACTATATGAAGTCGATTTTGGAATCTGACAGGTAATGTTGAGATGGAGGGCAAAGGGCTTATTTCCTCACAGCCTGAGGGCTGCTTTGAAGAATAAATAATATAGTAGGTTTTAAGAGTATCTACCAGCATCTTGGCACACATACCCTCAATAAAAAAAAAGTCACTTTTCTTTCCTTGCTCTAAGTAGTAATTCTCAAGCTGTTTTGCTAACACCTTTTTGTTCCTTCCAGGCCCTATTCTTCAAAATCTGAGTAAGGAATGAACATTTCATGCATCAACTACACTGGGGGAAGGATTCTCTTCTCTCTGTCCTCCGCTCCTCAGCTCAGAGCAAACTCTGAGGGCTGGGGACATGCCAAGTAGTTAAAAGCAGTTTCTCACCTGGTTTGGTGCTCAAGCCTATAATCCTAACTACTTGGGAGTTGGAATTGGGGATGTGGTATTATGGTTCAAGGCCAGCCTACGTATAAAAGTTTGAAAGACTACCTCATTCAATGGCTGGGCACCATGTATGTGCCTATAATCCTAGCTAGGTGGAAAGTATAATGGCTGGGCTCTCTGGCCTGCCTGTCACCACCACTGACACAGGGAATACAAATAGGAAGATCATAGCCCAGACCTACCAGGGCATAAAGTGAGACCATCTAGTAACAATAACCAATGAAAACAAAAAGGGGAGGGGGAACTAGAGCAATAGCTCTAGTGGTATAGTGCCTACTTAACAAGTAGGCACTATTTCTATCAATAAAAATATTTCTTTATAAAAAAGAGCAAGCCAGGCCCCAGTGACTCACACCTATATACCTCTACTCAGGAAGCTGAGAGCTGAGGATCGTAGTTCAAACCAGCCTGGCAGGAAAGTGCTACTGACTCATCTCCTACTAACCACCAAAAACTAAAACAACAATAACAACAACAAAAAACAGAAATAGAGCTGTGATTTAAATGGTAGAGTGCCAGCCTTGAGCAAAAAAGTTATGAGACAGAACCTAGGCCTTGAGTTCAAGCTCCAGGAGTGGCACAAAAGAAAGGGGGGGGAGTGGAGCTGTGGCTCAACGTGGTAGAGGGCTAGCCTTGAGCGATAGACAGCAGATAGATAGCTAGATAGAGCTCAAGGACAGCACCCAGGCCCGCAATAATAGGAAGAAGAGCAAGAACTAGAATAGCAGTTTCTCAATGTCCCCACCACTGATTTGGGACTGAATAGTTTTTAATTTTTAAAAGTTAACACATGATACTTACACATATTTATGAAATACAGTAGGAGAATTTGTATGTATACACAATGTGTGATGATCAAGCCAGAATAATTACTATTTCTACCTAAAATATTTATCATTTCTAC